TACCGTACATAACTATTCTTGATGATTCAGAACCCGATATTTGTAATCATTGATAAGTTTTAAATTCTTCCGCTCAGTTACCGTGCATTCATTTTCAGCCGGACAAAACACCTTCGACTCGAACAAATGGGCGCTGTCTATATTTTGCCCGAGTTTCCAAATTAACCTAATTGTATTTTATAAATTCGTGACAAATCAATGTATATTTGGCTTCGCAAATAGTAGTGTGATGTACAATTTTAGATAGAATTATCAAAACAAAAATCTTAGTCAACGATAATTTCAATTTTCATATGTTAACAGATAGCTGGTTGTGAATTTTTTATTTAAATAACACATAGAAAGAATAAAAAATCGAATTCAATCAATTTGAAATCGATGAAGAAAAATTTACTTCATAAATTCATCAACCAAGGCGAAATCAAATTCCAATGAGCTGAATTCGATATTTTTTTACAATCTTTTGCTGATTCTTTCGAACAGAATCATTCCATTTACAATCTGATGGTGAAAACATGAGTACAAATTATTGAAAATTTTAAAAACCTCATGCATATATAGGTTCTTAAAATTATCTAATGCATAAAATTTCGAAACAAGGCTTATAGTGAGGAAGCTCAGTATTTTAACACAGCGACTTCGATTGCTTCATCTTGAACTATTATTGGATTTTTGGTACTGTTATGGATTTTAGGTTTGCCAGACGGTCTTTTTTCGGACAAGTTCAGCGATTTAGCATTTTCTAATTGCGTTGGATGGCTAAAATTTATGATGGGGGAACTACCTAATTAGGTAGTACCCCCCTCCCCCGATCTCTGCCGCGTCTTCGTCGTGAAGGTACCCTGGCCTGCGCCACGACCGGGTGCGCCCGGCATACCCATGGGACAGGCCAAACGGCAGAGGCACCCCCGCCCGGATCGCAGAGGCACCCCCGCCCGGAACGTCGCCAGATGTAGGCCCTTCGTTTTTTTCGCCTAAGGGTCGGGGAAACTATGCCTCCCCTTCCCCCTACTCACATCTTGGCCGCTTATGCTCGGGAGTCCTCGCGCCCTACCCTCTTCTTCCTGCTCGTAAATCTCCTCTTAACCCAGGGTAACCATCCCAACCCTGGACCGCACCCTTGCTCAGTCTGCTCCCTCCCGGTAACATGGCGAGGTTACCGTGCTCCGGCCTGCCCTCCATTCATCTCTACTCCGCAGACTGGATCTTCTCAACGTGCAGATAGTCTGACCCGATCCCAGCCAGACTCCGCTCCCTCGCCCCCCTCCCGGCCTCCCCCCACGCTGGCACCCTCTCACCTCTACATCCTCAGTTTAACTGCAATGGGATCCAATCCAGCGCAGCTGAACTGGCTGCCTTCCTCGTCCAGCACTATGTTGCGTTGCCTGTATCCAGGAGACAAAACTATCAACTGCACCCGCCTCCCCTATTTCCCTGGATACGCGCTGGAGCGCAGGGACGGCCCCGTAGGTCACGGTGGCGGTCTCCTCATCCTGGTCTGCCACGACATCCCGTACATCGAGCGTGACATCTCTCCCTTCCTGCGCGACGACACCACCATGGAAGCATTAGCAATCTCCACTCCTCTGAATGGCTCCCTCCTCTGTAACATCGATGTATACATCTCACCGGCCTCCTTCTGCTGTCCAGGATATTCCCCGGACCTCTAAGACATTGTCATCATCTCGGGTGACTGTCTAATAGTGGGCGACTTCAACGCCCACCACCCCTCCTGGTTCTCCCACACTGAGGACCAGAGTGCAGCAACGAGAGGGACCACCATCGATGACTTCATCTCTGGCTCTCCCTTTGCTTTCCTCAACGAGGATTCACCGACCCGCCTTCCCTCCCATGGTCCGCCCTCATCACCTGACCTTGCCTTCATCACCGGACATCTGCTACTCAGCTCCTTATGGGCTCCTCAGGTCGCCCTGAACTCCGACCACTCACCAATCCCGATTCATTTACCTCCCTCCATTGATTCCCCGGCTCCCCGGTCCACCCACTTTTATACCAACTTTAAGAAAGCGGACTGGCCCGCCTTCACGGCAGCAGTCGAGACGGTTCTTTCCCCCACCTCGTGCGGAAGTGAGTCGACCCTCAGACGCGTCCTGGCGACTGCTGCCAAGCAGCACATCCCTGTTGGTTTTTGAAAGGAGTTCTCCCCGCAGTCAGCCCTGGCACCCGGTTGCTTATAGAGCAACTGGATGACATAGGGCGCACAACCCAAACGACCCCCGGCTCCCAGAACATACCTGGAAATCACTACCTCAATACAGGCCCATGCCAAGAACACCTGGCGGACACATCACTCGTCGTGCAACAGACAAACTCACCAGCCAAAGCACTGGAATCTCCTTCGCTCCCCAGCCGGAAAGCTCAACCGCCCTCCGCCCAATCAGCCAATCCAATTTGGTCAGACCCCCATCCCACCGCAGCGCAAGATATCCACCGCCTTCTGTACATTTTTCAGCTACATCGCTTCGCACTCTCAAAGCCCATCCACCCGCCGCCTTATGTGTCGAATTTGGGCTGAGCACCCCCTAGACAGGGACTTCTCCCCCTTCACCTCCAACATGGTGGAGCTCGCCTGACTCGGTTCAGAACTTCAGCAGCTGTTGCTTCTGTTGCTGTGACTTCTGCTGTTGCTCGCGCTATGTCAACAGCTGCTGCATTTGTTGTTGAATCCGATCAATTTGCTTCTTCAGGCATTGCTAAAAATCCGGTAGGTTACGCTGCCCGGTGTGGTAATTATTGCAACCGCCCTGTTGTTCCTTTGATTACGATAGATTCGCCCTTCCCAGAACGGATTTTTTTTACAATTGAATTTTTTTCTGACGTTTTGAGTTTGGGAGTAGAATCTACCCGGTGTTTCGGCAAGGAAGTATCAGAGTATCGTCTCCATTCGGCGTCGCCTCACGCCTGCAGACAGAGTCTAAGGTAACGAAACCGATAGTTATCTCGTTTGCAAGCTACATTTTTATAGGATTCCAGCATTGGATCAGGTGATAATATTGGCAGTCTTTCCCATTCATGCATCCACGTTGGTTTTTCTTCCAAATGTAAAAAATTTGTGTCAGATCTTAGGGTGAGAACAATTACAATTTATTCCTTTCTTCTCCCAATCGCACTTGCCCTGAAGATATATCCAGCAAACGCGTTTCTTAACTAACCGTTAAATGACTCTTGCTCGAGGCATTTAAATGAGAGAAGGGTAGGACAACGTTGCGGTCAAGGGTTAGGGTACTATGTCGGGCAGCAGTGAGGGAGGTGGGAGTAGAGGGAGTAGAGGGAGTAGAGGGCAACAGAAGAACTGAGGGACCCACTTTGAGTAGAACTGGAGGATCCACTCATGATAGGCCTACATCGCTTTTCTTCTCAAGCTAGAACAAACTGTACACTCTCCGTGCTTTCTTTGAACCACCCCTCGTTCTTCACTCATGTTCTGCACATGAATGATGCTCTAGTCTTTTAATATCATGAAAGTTGGTATTCTGGAAGTAGTGAACATTTGAATTGACAAAACTAGCTTTAGAGTTGCATCTTCGTGCCAATTGTCCAAAATTTTGTTCGTTGCATTCAAGCCATTCTCTTGTAGGTTTACCCTCAAGAACATAGCCTATAATACTTCTTTGACTGTAGCATTATCAGCCGCAAGCCATCAGACAGATCACATCCATTGAAATAGATCAATCAGCCCACAGGAAAATAGCCTGACATAGTTTGGCCCTGCATCGTCTGCCAATACGCGAAAAAATTGCACCATCCTGACGGAGCGTGCCGGAGCCTTGCAGTAATTATGATGCCCATAAACGACCCGTCCGTATTTGTCCCGTGTGCTGGTGTAATCAGCCTACTGTCGAACGGCCACTCGTCGTCGGACGATAAATTTTGTAACAGAACTATGCTATCTGAAACCGAACCCCAGTTGCTGTGAACTAAATGTTTCGTAATTTAATGAAGCTGCGGAAGTCACTCGTCGAAGGACGATAGATTTTGGAACAAAACTATGCTGTCTGAAACCTAACCCCATATTCTGTGAGCTGAAAGTGACCGTCTGGTGGTGCACGGCAGGATGCATGCAGTTCCACTGGCACGATGGGCTGATTAATCGCTGTCTGTTGTCCGCTGATTCCAGTTCGAGCTAAAGTCAGGGTATAAAATGACGATTCGAGGGAACCCTCAGTGTTGGACGATCATTGCACTCTGCGTTATTCGCTTCGGAATATGGCGGCGTAAAGCACTGGATAATTAAAAAAAGGTGATATCATGGGCTGGTTACCGACGGCAGGATTGATACGCGGCTGATTGGTAGCCTTAATCCTTTACGCCCTGAATTTCTGGGACAAAAATCGTAAAATTCCCTTTTTCGGTTTTGAGTCTCACTTCGAAGCTGACATTCTGACCTATCCAATGGTACCAAAATCATCTCTGTACGTTGATTTATGCCTTGACGACAGTTCGTGAAAGTGTTAGGGGTGGTAAAGTTATCTGTTAGTAAATAACCGAAATAGAATTTCCATAAGAAATTGGACATTGCCATTGGAAATTGGAAATTATATTTCGGTTATTTACTGACAGATAACTTTGAAAATTGGTACACATATGTAAAAAATAAATCTAAGACTTTTTTATTCCCGTGAATTTTTCGAAAAAATGACAGAAAACGTGAAATTGTTGGAAAAGGTAGCTAGTCCCTGGTGTGACGAATTCGTCATGCCAGGGCGTAAAGGGTTAATTACGAATACATGCTAGGCGTTCTATTTAAGGCTGATTGGTGCACAAAACTGGATGTGCACGGCTGCACTCCTCTTTCGAAAACGTTCTCATGGAATCGCAAAAAGAAATTGAATATATTTTCTGTGTTCTAAACTAAAGAATATTTGTAAAGAATGGTTTAAGTTATAGCATTACGAGAATATCTCCCAGAAAACTATTTACTAAAATTTTATGTTAGAACAATAACCTCGGCCTGCATCGTGCTATCAGTTGAGGGCAGCGTTTGATGCCAAGAGGTTGTATTGTGTTGTTCACTCCAACATGTTAAGGTCAGAAACTCAACTTTCTCTTAATAACAATAATGATGGATGATAAATCCCTCGCGGACAATTATCTTACATATAATAAAATACTATGGTGCTGTCAACTTTGATTAGGTAATTATGACCTGTCGCTAATTTTTCACCACCCGACCACGTTCACCTTGCCGATATTTGCCAGAATTTTCACTACTCGTTGCAGTTTTCTAACCCTCTACCTCGATGCTCCATTCTTGGCAGTTTTAGCGACTCGTTTTTTTTCCGTACTTATTGTAAAATATTTGAAGAACGTACTATGAAGAACGATCGTATTTACGATCGATCAATCATTATTTCTCATCCAAAATCCCTGCCGTAACCTGCATCCGGTTAGCTTGGGGGTATGTTTGAGTGACCAACCGCAAATTAACGACCGTTACCGCCGGTTTTCAAAATTTATATTATGTTCTTTTGTACCCGTACATTACCTTTTATCATAAACTCTACATTTAATTCAGGCAACTAATAATGCAGCTTAAACTGAGATCAAATCTCTCGATATATATGACAGTAGTAATAGTCCACAATAAATTCGGTTGGAAATCAAAAGACTCATTCCATAATATGATATTTATGAAAACTTAAGAGTATGCATATTATACCTATACCCTTAGATAAACGATTTCTAACGTTGAATCTAATGCCTAATATACTTGTTTACCTATAAAATCATCCAAACTTGATTTTCAGCCTTCACAACTATCAAATCTTATGAATTTTTTGTGCATTAAAATGCATTTGGTTCAATTTCTCTGAATCAGTATATTTGCAACCCTTCATGCCACCAGCTCTGCTCCTCGATCAATCTTCTCATACGCTATCTAGCGGCGCCTGTGATAGCATATCTCGAGTCCTGCAGAATATCAAAATATCCACGTGAGGTACAACTACAAAGCTACATTATCATATCTCTAGTGATTAATAATCATCTCATCGCTGCACACATATAATCAACATCCTATTATGGCCAAGAATTAAAATATTAGCATTTAAAGGAAAGTTTGGCCCTGACAATGAAATTAACACTATTTTTTTTAAGAGACGCAAGTAGCAACATCTGTTCAGATATTTAAAATAAATGGATAAAATTAAATTAAATTGAAGTTAGTTGATTACTCTTTTTATTTGTCTTCTTAAATTGGATTATATTAAGAGACGCCAGCATAGTAACCACATTTAATAAATTCATCAGCTGTAATCCACTCCCTAAATATCAAACTTTTTAAATACATCTCAGTAAATGTATCTTATAGTTGTTCATATTTTCACATTCTGGCTTCAGCAATCTCAATTTTCAAACATTTCTACTCTTGCCGCAAAAATTTTAAATTAAAAAACTTATTATATACCAAGAAATTAACTTTCAAATTCGGTCACACTTTATCCACACTGTACACATGTGACAGTGTGTTTATCCACACTGTACTTTATCCACACACACTGTCACACTGTAATAAAAAAAACATCTCGTTATTGTACCTGTCCAACCCATATATATATATATATATAACATAAAATTTGATTTTTATATTGAAGTAAACATGAATTATTCAACATTAAAATAAATTTCAACTATCGAAATTAAAGAACTCATTTCAATTCCATCATTCACTCATTTCTTTTTCATGTTTAGCAATGATGTATGATTGACACAACCTGACTGCAATTTCAGGTCAAGAATATAATACCGGATTGACAGGTATTTCTTGAGTCCCATTATGTTCAGCTGCCAACTTCGAATCATATGCCCTATTATATCCATGACATTTAATTGTTCTCACGTTGATATTTTCAAAAAATCATTCAACTCATAGAATAAGAATTTCCATGTCAATTAATAACAGCAAACATACGGTGACCTGCTGGAGAACTGAAAGCTCTCTGACATTAACCCTTTCATAAGCAGGCATGGAAATGTCCAAAATATGATCTTCTGAAGTCATTACAAGAAAGTATGAGCAATTTAAAGTTATATATACTCGCGCATATGACAAAATTATGCCTATTGAAGGAGTAAATTGCAGCTGAATAATTCATTATATACAGTCAATTAAATAAAATATATTATAATTCAAATCAAACACGCAGCGGGGTGTGGAGAAACAGTCTTAGTTTTATTTGATTCGATTTCATCACTTTTTTTATTAATTGAAAAGATATTGCTACTAGAATGTCTTTAAAAAATTAAAAAAATTTTCGTCCTAGTCAAAGCTTACATTTGAAAGCTCATATTCCAGTTCTTGAGCATGATAGGGGCTTATACTATAAATGGAATGACAGACAGATGATTGGTGATTGGCAGAGTCTTTATTATGTAGCCTCAAGCACAAACCAGGGAACTTCATGAGCATTTATTGAAAGATTTAAATGACCGAATATAATATCTTGCCCGCTAGAGGGTTAATAATGTGTGAAATAATTTCCTTTATTATTAAGAATGATTCCTGATTCATTTCATTGTTTCCAATACCTTATGCTATTTATATGCTTCATTTGAATATTTTTTATTTGAGTATTCTAATTTCTCTGCAGCAAATCTCTTGCCTTCAGCGCTTGAGATCTAGTCTTGAACAAGAGATTTTGAAACCTATACTTTGATTCACCAAAATTATTTCACTAACCAAATATACTCATAAACCATCTATTTGCATTTCGTGGTCTGTGATCAATTCTCTACACAGCCCTATAAGTGTTAAGTAAACGTATCTATAGCATCACGGCACTCGAATATCTGATATACGTACTGCAGGGGTGGACAAATAAGGGAAACACCTTATGAATTATACACAAAGTATATTTTAGTATGTTGTAGGTACACATTATGTGGCAATTAAAGCCTCAATTCTCCAAGGCATTGATTCTTACAAATTGTGAATAATTTCCAAAGGAATTTTAGCCTATTTTTTCATTAAACCCTCTTATACCTTCTCTCATAGACCTCAGTTTGAACCACTTTAGGCCTTTTTTAACCCTCTCCAACGTACACTCGGATAAAGGTCGGAAATAAGGTGAACGATAATTCTTTGTAGAAAATAACATTTTTCCGCTGCTCGAGGGACAAATTCTGAAGGTTTATACACCACTGTAAACACAGTTCGTCGCTCCTGACGAAAAGTTTTTTTATTGAAACTGGCTTCTGTAGGTGTCCATTGAGGTCTGATGTAATTTTTACAGCCATAATCGTCCTATTTTTCTAAACAATTTGATTTAGAGATTGATGCCTATTCTCAGACAACTTCAACATCCAGCAAGACCTGTGCTTTGCTAAAGACAGTACCTCTTGAAACGTCAAACATTCGGGAAGTTCTGTCTCTCTATATAGCACCTGCCATACGAGCACCAAAAATTTGGCCTTTATTTGAGAGGTTTGCCATTTTTATAAGGTTAAAGTCACAAAAATGTCCTAAGAAATAGCTGCAAAATCTTGCAATATCATTTAGCAACAACAAAAAACTACAAAACATTAAAATATGTCGAGTTTCTATCGTTTATAACGTGTTCAAACATTTTCTCTAAATGTTTAGTCTTTCCCATATTTTGTCAACCCCTGTATGTCACGTAAACTGAAGAGGGCGCTGAGGAACATGCCTTCCATTTACGTTTCGGACAAATTTACGGCCGGACTTGCCGCCGGTCTCGCGGCCGGACTCGCGGCCGGTGTCCAAATTCAGTTTACCTGGAATATCTCCCAAAGTACTGAACGTAGCTCGATGAAACTTGGTACACATATTCAATATGGTCTTACGGTGATGTCAAGCTCGTGACAATTTTTTTATATCGCCTTCATTCGTGAGTTATATGACGAAACGTGCCGATATTTACAGTGTACCGGCCATTTCTTCCAGAGTACTGAACAGATCTGAATGAAATTTTGAATATGAATTTCTGAGTACTAAACGGTGATGTTTAGCTCGTTAAAATTTTTTACGTTTTGCCCTCGTTTGCGAGTATTTTTTTCTTTTCCCTCATTCGTGATTTAAACAGCAAAAATAGTGCTTAAATTCGCTGTGTACCAGAGATTTCTTCTAAATTACTGAACAGATCCGAACGAAACTTTGCATATAGAAACCTAACCTTCCAACGGTGATGTTTAGCTCGTGACAAGTTTTTTGATTTTGCCTTCGTTTGCAAGTTATACGGATATACGGAGAAACGACCGGCATTTCTCAGGCCGATTTTTGAACTTCCATTGACCAAGAGCCATATACGTAAAGCCGTATAACTCGCAAACGAAGGCAAAATCAAAAAATTGTCACGAGCTTGACATCACCGTTAGGCCATAATGAATATGTGTACCAAGTTTCATCGAGATACGTTCAGTACTTTGGAAGATATTTCAGGGACACTGACGGCCGCGAGACCGGCCGCAAGTCCGGCCGTAAATTTGTCAGAGACGTCATTTACGTTTGGTGATTTCTAAAATAAAATAATGGACACATAGTGAGTCCACTATTTGGGTGATGGTTGATCTCAACGTCACAGGCTAGCTGACAGTCGAAAATATCAGGTCAACGGTTTATTCTCTGTAGTTCATTATCGGTGAGCAGCAATTTCGTTGGCAAGATATTTTTTCTTTGTTTCAGCTATAGGAGGATAATCATGTCAGGCCGCCCTGTGCCTATCGTTGTTCAGAACAATGATAGTCGAGAGTTCGAGCTGGACGAAGACGCCCTCAAAAACGTTCTGTTGAGTCCTGACGTGGGCGACAAACCGGTCTGTGTGGTAGCCGTGGCGGGGGCGTTCAGGCAGGGCAAGAGCTTTCTTTTGAATCACCTAGTGAAGTACTGCGAGAATAAAGTAAGTATTCAGCATGGAGTTGAATTTATTATTTATTAAAGCTGAACTGGAACAAGCGAAGTCGAGTGAAATTTAAAGTAAATCTTGTAGTCACTTTAAAATGATGTATTTATTCATGAACTAATTCTACGATGTAGACAAAGAGATAAAAACAGACATTGCTGCTCGTTCATTTGTCAAAGTACGTGAATTGGACAAGCAGCTGATCCCATACAAAATGTTAGGTTAGTAAATCTTATTTTTATATCGCGATTCCGATGCCCAGGGCTCACCTAACTGGTTAGGAGATCCATCGCTGCCACTTGAAGGCTTCGCCTGGCGAAGCGGCATTGAGGGAGAGACAACCGGGATTTACATCTGGAGCAAGCCTTTCGTCTTCACCAAACCGTCTGGAGACGAAGCAAGTGACAAATTAATGTTCGCAGATGCGCGCTTGGTTCTGGAAGGCTGCGCAATATTAATATATGGACCAGATAAATGGATATATGGGCATGAATATTCTTGGACATTTAATAAAAATGTTGTTGATTGAGGCATTAATTTGGTGTGTAATGCTTCAAAATTGTTTTTCGCTCTTTTCCAGAAAAAGAATTATTTGAAAACTTGGCCAATTTTGTTCTAAAGCTACCATGTGGCAAAGGGTTTATGTTAAAGTTTTCGTTTATTGGTGTTCATCGAGTGATAAAAAACTAGCTTCACAAGGAATTTAAAAGCAAAGAAAACGCCAAGAAAATTCACCATATCGATATTGAAAACGTTTCGGAGTCCAGCTCCATCATCAGTTCGACTAAACTAAAAATGAATAAAATCACTTTAAAAGTCAAAATTCAAAGACAGACATAAAAATGGGCCCATTTTGACACATTTTACAAAATAGTGTTTCATAAAAAATTGAATAAACATATAGGCGTCTAATTCACATCATACATTCCCCATTAGTTGTACCTTTAAACAAAACAAAGAACCACCTCGTATCAATTAAAAGTTCATCAAAAATTTAGTTTTAAAAAGGGGAGGGGGGCGCGCTGCCCCATGTTGCCCTACTTGAAAACTGGTCCAATTTATTTCTAAAGCTAATATGAGGCTTGTTAAAAGTTTCGTTTATTGGTGTTCATTAAGTGACAAAAAACTAACCGCGAAGCTACCTTTGATGGGACGATATTCAAAGTTTAAAATGAAAAAAAAGCACAAGTACATTGAAGTCATTTTCAGATTGCACCCTCATCGATGCAGTTTACGTTGCAAATTTAAACGGTTGTAGAAAATCAGAAAGCTTAGTCTAAAATTAAGTGGACCAGCATTTCAAAGTGAAGCATCATATAGTGGACAAAACGTGCAGTTAACGCTTTCGATAACTGGATTTGGTTCGTTCGTAAATAAACTTGATAAGCAGCAGTTATTACATATTTTTCCTCTTTTTCAGGTGGCAGTGATTCTTATGGACACTCAAGGAACGTTTGACTGCGAAACAACGATGCAGGTCTGTTACTTGGGTTTGTTGATACACAATCGACAACGTAATGAGTGATACGTTATTACTTCTTCATAATCTATTAGCAGGAGGTGGTACAGTACTGTACGTAACTACATGTATTTATGATGATTCAAAGCCCATTATTTGTAATAATTGAGAAGTTTTCAATTTCTCCTCTCGGTAACCGTGCATAATTTTTCAGCCGGAAGGTCTATGAGACCTTGACAATAAGCAGAAATTAAAAGTTAGAAATTGCAAAGAAAATTGCCTCTGGGACAAAACACCTTTGGCTCGAAGAAATGGGCGCTGTTCATATTTAGCCCGCGTTTTAAAATTAGTCTCATTGTATTTTATAAATTCATGTCAAATTAATGTAGATTCGGCTTCACAAGTAGTCGTGTGATGTACAATTTTATATTAAATTTTCATCTTATGTTTAGATGTTGAATTTCACCCATTCACTCCTGCTCTAGTTAACTCTAGTTCTTCACAGGAATCGTAGTCGCGACATGGTTGAAATGAATCTAAATAGGCGCTGTAAATTTTGCTTATACATTGGAATGCAAGTTGTTAGTGAATAATAGAATGATTAATATAACATATCATAACATAACATATTGAAGTCGGCGCTGAAGAATAGGCCTGATGTGACCTGTCGCCGATTCTTGTACTTTTCTTGACTTATTCACAGGAGATCTAAAAACATGTCATTTGACCAGATCTTTTCACGACTGACGATAGTTTGAAATTGCTACTTGACTTCCACCAGATTCGATATGGTGCTAGGCATTTCAAATCTTAACATATATTTCTCCATAGCTTTATCTAGTCTGTTCTTGAACGTGTTCATACTCTGAGCGTCAACGATGTTACTAGGGCGGCTGTTCCACATATCGGTGACTCGAAGCGAGAAGAAATGTCGTCGCGTGGATGAGTTGCAACGCAGTTTTTTTTAGTTTGTAGCCGTGGGCCCTGGTGCTGGTTCTTGTTTCAAATTCTAGGCATCCTTCTGGGGCCTTGCATAAGCCATGAGTATACTTGAATACTTCAATGAGGTCACCACGCAGACGTCGATAACAGAGGGTTGAAAGCTTCATATGATTTAATCTTTATTCAAAGGGCTTACACTTCAAGCAAGGAATTACCCTTGTTGCACGTCTTTGAACTCTCTCTACTAAATTTTTGTCCTTTTCAAATTTCGGTGAACACACGGCTTTTCCAAACTCTAGATTCGGGTGCTCAACAGCGGTAAACAGCAGCATCGCTTCTGCATTCAAGTACTCGTTGGTGCGTCAGATCAGTTAAAGAAGTTTGTTGGATTTATTTGCATGTGTTTCAATATGCCGAGAAAATTTCAGCTCTTTGTCGACATAAACTCCCAAATCTTTTTCCACGCTAGACTTTTCAATAATTATTTTCTCATTGCAACCATGTCTTCTTATACTGTAATCTTGCTGTTCATTGTTCTTCCAGAGGTGAAGTACTTTACACTTGTCAGCGTTATAACGCAGCTGCCACGTAACAGCCCAGTTAACTAAACTATCAAGATTATCTTGCAATTTTACTCGATTTGACGCATCCTTCACTGTTTTATAAACTTTTGTGTCGTCGGCATACATGGAGCACACGCTTGACACTACTTCTAGCAGATCGTTTATAAAAGCAACGAGCATAACAGGTCCAAGAACGCTTCCTTGTGGCGCGCCACTGCGCACTGATGCCCAGTCTGATACGGTTCCGTTTATACTGTAACGTTTTCGTCTACCAACTAGAAAATCCCTGATCCATTCGAGTACGTTTCTCTCTATTCCCAAAGACTTCACTTTACGCAACAGCCGCTCATGTGAGACACTGTCAAATGCCTTGGCAAAATCGAGGTACACTGCATCCACTGGCTCCATTTCGTCGAGTAGGCGAGTCCAATCACTCAACGTAGACAAGAGGTTAGTGGTGCAGGATCTACCGGCAGGAAAGTCATTTGACAGTCTTATAGGAGATGGTTAACGGCCAACAGATCGATTATCCTATCCCATACAACAGATTCCATTAACTTACAAAAAACACTTGTTAGACTGACGGGGTGATAGTTACCGGGGCTACTTTTGTCGCCTTTTTGAATATGTTGTAGCATGAGCTTCCATCCAATCGGTCTCAAAGTTCCTCCATACAGGGTCTTTCCAAAGAATACTGTCGAAAGGTAAGCCAGGACGGTTGCAAATACTTTGAGCAATCTAGGGTGGAAGCGGTCTGGTCCACATAACTTGTTGGGATTTAGAGTGATCAGGCACTTGAGAACCTCTTCTTCGAGCAATTCAAAATATGATAACTTCGAGCCGACTGGACGCTCCTCAATGTCTGGAATACTGTTCAAGACCTCATCTGTGAACGCACTGCTAAATAACGTTAGCTTTGCCCCTCATCAGAGGATATCTTACGTTGGTCTACATTCAAATCAGTAATGCCGTCTTTTGGCTTACATTTCGAATTAGCGTACAAAATGAAGGCTTTCCGGTTCTTTTTGCATTTTTGGCAATATTTTTTCAAAGGTTTTCAGAGCGGTGCGACAGATTTTTTAAGCTTGATTTCGAGCTCTTGCATACAGGTTATTATCAGCATCGCTGAGAGTTAGTAAATAAAGCTTGTAGGCTTCCTTCTTGGTCTTTAGCTTAGCCGCGATTGTACTGTTCATCCACACTGACTTTTTGACTCCACCTAACTTAATCTTAGGTACACACGAAACAACTGTAGACATAACCGTGTCTGTGAACATGACGACCATGACTCAGACCCATTCATGTCCTTAATGCAGTCCGAAATATTCGCCGCATTCAATGCATCACGGAGTTTAAAATAATCACCTTTGGCAAAGTTCAAGCGCTCACGCTTCCGAGGCGTCTTTTCGGCATGGCACTTAATACTGAAAAAAAACAATGATTGATGGTGACTTTTACCCAACGGAGCCTCATGCCGAAGCTCATCTAACATTGACTCCTCACTACTAAACAGTAGATCTAGAATATTTGGGGTTTGTTTACCTTCTGACATGGGTTGGCTTGGTGATGTTCTGGATTAAAAATTAGTCTCGCACAGACTCCAAGAACAGGGATGCAGGGTGATTCCCATCTCTTGGATAGGATTCTTCTATACCCAGTTTATTTCTGGATGGATAAAGTCACCAATGATCAACGTATGCGACTTGCTGAAAGTCATGCTCGGTAAAAGACTGTTTAGTACTGTATCGTTATTAGAGTAACTGTTAGGTGATCTATACATGACGCCTATGAGGAGGTTATCTTTGCCTCTGAGAGAAAGTTCGCACCACACTGATTATCTAGCTGATTGATCCTCTGCAGAAAGTTTCAGTGAAAGTTTCATTCAGTCCCACTTCCTCAAGGATTCAACCTTCATCTTCGCCCTGACGCTGTTGACCTCCTCCGTGACTGTGTACAATCTGATGCACAACATCCGCGAGGACGACCTCATGAACCTGCAAACGTTCTGCACCTTCGGGACCATGGCGCAGAACTCCACCAACCAAAACTCCTGTGCATTTCAGGTAAGTGTATTGTATAAGAATTGGGAAATCGTTATTCGTAGATTAAGTAAGCTGAATAATAAAACGACACATTTGTACTTATTATTTTAATTAATCTATCTGATAACGTTTGATTTCACTGTTTGAACTAAATTATTGCCTATTATTGTGACATCAGAACTACCAGAGCTTTGATTGATATCCAGGAAAGAATGCACCTATATTATGACGGTCAATTATTTAACAACATTTATAATAACTTCATTGAATTACATACATTTTCATGGATTAATGCAAATAAATCAACTTCTATTCATTGGAATACTTAACAAATGTATGTATATAAAAGTTAGTAAATGTATGTCAAGTAACTATGAATTACGTAATCGTACCAGATGTCGTCCAAATAAACCAAGCCGCCATCGAAACCTACCTTTTTCCAAGTTACATGCTTTGCGATGCCTAAATTGGTTGTGCTATAAGGCAAATTGCTGCCTATGTCTGTAGGTTTTAAAGACTCGTGTAAATACTTCTTGCACAATCCTGCTGTCAAAGTTTACACAATTTTCTGAAAACTGACGCAAAAATTGTACTGATTTTATGCGACAAATAAATAGGCTTAGTTGAATGTCATCTCCTTCGCCCACTGCCAGGTCAAGTAAATAGAGTTTCAGGTTTTGGGATAACTCTGGAAATTTTTCAGCACTTCATCCACGCAGCGTGTACCATTACTAAAAACGTTATTGCTTGTGCGAAGTTCATAGCTATGTGCCAGTTCACATAAATTTCCTGCTATATTTCTAACAATGAAATCTTTTGATTAACTTCTTTATTGTTATGTATTTCGTATTGTCACACGCCACGCGGATAAAATGCCATGAAGTTTCCTATTAGGAATCTTATAGGTGGGATTTACGGTGTAAAATCTAATTCAGAAGTTGAACATTGCACACTGGTCGCTTTTGTGTCGTCAATGTGACAGATCTACGAGCTCCCGAATCTCGATCAGCGTCAAGATGGCGAGTCGAGTCTCCTGCAAACTTGAGTTTCTGCGTTTCTGCAATCTTTAGTCTTTCGCGATTTCTAAAGTGAAACACCTTAAAAACATAAAAAGATTAATATTTACATGACTTTTTTTTATCTCACAAGAATTTTGAACTACTATACAAAGGTCAATATTCGTATTTGTTTACTTTGGACGAGTTTTGAACGGACGAATCGAAAAGATACTGTTTTAAGCAGCCGTAGTCGATGTAGTCGATGTGCATGCAGTTGGCCGCATGGCAATCTGCTGGCTTTCTCGTGTTGCCTACAAGAACACTGCATGCGTTCATGCATCGTGATGGCGCTGAAAAGCGTTGTTTGACGGCAAGCTCGGGACTGCCTGTAGTTCAGCAGTGAAATGTTCGTGGCCGGGCTGCATAAGCGCGACGGTACCGTGGCACCCAGTAGCGCTTGAAACCTGAGGGCAGTGTTTCNGGATGGAAGCATTCTGGCCTACATGACTTTTTGGGATTTAGAACGACCAGGCGCTTGAGAACCTCTTCTTCGTGTATTTCAAAACCTGTCAATTTCGAGCCTACTGAGCGCTCCTCAACATCTGAAATACTGTTCAAGTTCTCATCTGCGAACACACTGCTAAAGAACTGATTAAGAACGTTAGCCGTGCCCTTATCAGAGGATATTTTCCGTTGGTCTACTTTAAAACCAGAAATGGCGTCGTTTGTCTAACACTTTGAACTAGCGTACAAATAGAAGGCTTCCGGATTCTTCTTTGCATTTTTGGCAATATTTTTTTCGAAGTTTTTCACTGCAGTGTGACACACTTTAAGCTTGATTTCGAGCTCTTGCAAACAGGTTATAATCAGAATCGATGCGAGTTTGCAAATAACGCTTTGTAGGCTTCCTTTTTGATCTTTAGCTGAGCCATAACTGTACTGTTCATGCACTGGGACTTTTTGACTCCTCCAAGCGTAGTCTTAGGTACATAGGTAAATAAACTGCAGATATAACCGTGTCTTCGAAATATGACCATGAATCAGCCACATTCATGTCCCTAATACAGTCCGAAATATTCGCCGCATTCACTGCTTCACGGAGTTTATCATAGTCGCCTTTTGCAAAGTTCAAACGTTCACGCGTCCAAAGCATCTTTCTGCATATAACTTAATACTGAAAAACATTGATTGGTGGTGGCTCTTGCCAAACGGAGCCTCGTGGCGAAGCTCATCTAACATTGATTCTTCACTAGTAAAAACTAGATTTAGAATATTTGGGGTCTGTTTACCCCCTAAAACGGGTTGGCTTGGTGATGTTCTGGATTAAAAATGAGTCTCGCCCAGACTCCAAGAACAGGGATGCTGGGTGATTTCCATCTCTTGGAGAGTATTCATCTGCCCAGTCTATTTCTGGATGGTTAAAGTCGCCCACAATCAACGTATGCGACCTGCTGAAAGTCATGTTCGGTGAAAGGCTGTTTAGTACTTTATCATTATCAGAGGAACTGTTATGTGATCTATAAAGGACCCCTATGAGGAGGCTATCCCTGCCTTTTAAAGAAATTTCGCACCACTCTCTCTAGCTAATTGATGCTCTGCAGATAACTTAACTTGCTGGGCCCCATAACCAACAGAGCTACACTTCTACGGCACTGCACTTCATTTAAGTTATGAAAACAATCAATACCTGTCAACTGAAATTCAGCAGGTACAATTTTCCCCCGTGATTTCAGGGAGTATTTCTGTTAGACAAGTAATGTCTATACACTCGTTTGCGATCACAGTTAACAGTTCACTTATTTCGTTCAAAACGGAAACCGAGTTCTTATAAAAAAAAACATATTAAAACTCTTTGTGCACTTTTACTTTGATGTATGCGGTTACTTCCTACATTATTTACAGGCTAGATCTACGGATATCATTACTATTAATTTATTTCTTGTCCTACAGCTCCTCTGACTGACCATGGGCAACCGGTGTTGTCTTAACAGCTTATAAGTGATTGACCTGATTTTATGTGCCTCTGCGCTGAATCTATCCTGCCATTTCTTGCGAAATTCCGCCCTCTCTAAAGGGGGGAATCTTTCTTTGCAAAAACGACGAACTTCTAATCAGTGGATTATCCAAGCTTTCACGCTGCCTTCAGCACGCTCCAAACCTAAGCAGGATCCTTTATAGTTACCAACAGAGGTCTACCGGTGTTGGCAGCAGCATCCTTCGAACGTAGCCTCTTGCACGATGTTATATCAACCGGTGTGCTGAGTGCCTTGCTGCAACATTCTGCAACGAATGCAGTGTCAGCCATCACTCGGTCCTTCATATCAGATGCGGTACTTTCGGGAATACCAAATCAAACAAGGCTGCACTTCCTACGTTCTGTATCAAGTAATTCACGGGAGCTTTCGCTAATCTTCAGATAAATAAGCTCTCTTGGACTTTACTTCATTTTTTTCCCGTATTTTTCAGCTGAGCTTTTACTCATTCTGTTCAGCTCATTTTCATAGCGAGCTCAAATGGGCACCTCGGTTTCTCGAGCACCAAGAGTTTATTTTTCGCAGTCACGGCAAAACCAATGAAGTAATTTAGTTTTCTGGAGAAATGAAAATTCCTTAGAACTCAACTTCGAACAGCTGATACAAATGAGATCTTTGCAACGTTTACAGGTGACCGTCTGAACTTCGCTCAGAGAGATTTCTTTGCAGTACTTGCAAACTTTCATCACTAGCTGATCTAATTTGGTTTTAGTTTTTTCTAGAGGCCGTAGAGGGCTTTTCGACTACCTTTTTCATTTTCTTCCTAGCCATTATTAAATGCACGGAGTAGAGCACTTGAACGGAGAAAAGGACGGAGACAAACTTCAAAACGGAGTTGAATTGAATTATAGTAAAGTTCCCTCGAAAATTTCGACACTGGTGGAGCAGTTGAGGTAACAGCTGTAATTGGCGAGGGAAAGACAGGGGTGGGCTGAGGGAATCAAGGGCTCGACGCGACAGTCGGGTAGAGAGGAGGAGAGATAGGGTAAAGTTAGACAGCGGGGCAGAACAAAGGTGACAGAGACTGCTCAAGAAATTTAGGCCCAATTGAAAGCCAAACGCACAGCACTGTGCCCTCTCACAAGTTTACCCTCGTTTCTTCATAGGAAACATTTTTTATTCACTTCCACTCAGGGAACAGGGAAACATTTTTTATTCACTTCCACTCTTTATTCGCATTCTCTTCCACTGACTTCACTAAAGTCTTTACTAAAAGACTTCAGCACGAAATGCATAAATAGAGCTAAACCGGCATAGTGCAAAGGTCAGTTTTGAGCCCGTGCAACATGCACGTCTGCCTTGTGACGCAGCTCAACCGCGACTTGTGGCCGCCAAAAGCTTGTATTGTGATCATACTGGTCAGAATGACGACTTCTGATGTTGTACGTTATTATGACGGCATGGAATGGTAGTAAATTATTGAGGACAATTAAAAATTAAGAGCATTTTTTTTGCTTCGGCTGATAAAATTTCGAATTAAGAGAATTTTGGGTGCAGCTAGATTAGGAGGGTCTTCAATCATTTATTCTGTACTGGTGTAGTGCCGATTTACGGAGATCAAGTTTAAAGCCTCTATTCTGACGTGAATTTTAGTAGAACGATTGGAAGCAACATCTCAAATGTTGTAACGAATTATTCAAAGAAAATGTAAGCTAAATTTTAGCTAAAGCTAAATTTTGATTACATACGATATTTCTACTAATTTTGCACAGATTGGAGTGACAGATTGGAGATAGTCATCAATGCCCTTTCTAATCCAAACCCAATTACCAGGTAAACAATCAGGAGCCGGCGCACCAACGACTTAGAGAAGGCCTCCGCCAGAGTTTCGAGGACCTGGAGTGCTACCTCATGCCGCACATTGGCATGCGCGCCATCGAGGATGAAGACTTTGATGGCCGACTAAATCGTGAGCTCGCTGGGACACTTAAAGTTATGTTGTTAGTAGTAAATTCGTGAACAATAAGCTCTGCACAAAATCACATGGGAT